AGCTGACGGAGATGGGGGATCCGCTGTGGTGCAGCAATACCCATGCAGAGGCTGCTTTCACCCCGCCAGGATGGAGCAAGGAGCTGGTGGGGTCTGTACCGAGCAGGACTGGCTTGTTAGCACTGAATTAAGAGGCTTGGTGGAAGGAAGGGCACGGGTGACACAGGCTACGTGGGGCAGGCGGGAGATGAGCAAAGCAATAGCAGCTGGAATCCCCAGCAATCTGGTAAGCGCAGCTCAGCCTCACACTCCCAGCTCGCCGAGCTCGGCCTCCAACAGCCCCTGACAGTTGGTATTAATCACGCACATCGCCCCAACACAACTCTTTACTGGCCATCAATTTCCCGTGGGTTTTAAAACTAAAAAACAAAGACAAAACCGCGTCGTTTGGCCGCCACTGAGAAGCACATTAAGGGGCTGTCAGCTTCTCGCCATGCACCCTGCATCACTCTTTAAGCACATGAGAAGTTCATTATCCCCGGAGCTCTGGCAGCCATGGGGATGCTGGCGTAGGGAGCGTCGCGAAGGTGCTCCTGTGTCAGGCACGACAGAGGGCTCCCCACAGACCTCTGGGATGCCTGGAGCAGGAGACAGGGGTCCCAGGCACATAGGCATGGCTGTGATGGGGGCTCTGGGCTTGTCTGTGGCAGGACAGAGCACTGCTGGCCACAGAAGCGCTTTGGTCCAGCACACTTCCCCGATGGTCCCTGCAGGCTGATGCTGCAGCCCCACCGCCGTGGTGAGGAGCGCTTGCCGAAGCTGCTGTGATATCCCCTGACAGCCTGACACCACGTTTGCCAGCCTGTGGGTGCTCCCTGCCAGCCTGAGCCACACTCTCTGGTTTGGTGACATCCCCGGCAACCCAATACCACGCTTGCCATAGTTTGCTGATGCTCCCTAGCAACCTGACACTGCGCTCTCTTTAACATGAGCCCATGTAAAAAAGCAACAGCTCGTTTGATTTATGATACTTCAGAACAACTAAGATTCAATTGCTCCGCACGTCCCTGGCTCTGATTACCTCCTAAATGAGATAAACTGATGGCAATTTATCCCCAGACCTCACCAACTTTCCCAGGATGCTAACCTGAGGTGCTCGTGCCCTGCACACACAGGCATGGGCTGGGGCCATCTGAAGGCAGCCCGGCTGAAGCCCAAGCCTTGGGCTGCCCTCTGCTCCTCCACACTCTGCTCCTGACTGGCAGAGATGCTGTGACCAAGGGCTGAGCCTGACACTATGCCTGGCCTGAGGCAGCTGCTGAGATCTCCTGGTAGGAGACTTTGGGGGTCCCAGCAGTGGTGCTCCCCACACCATCATGGCCACACTGGCGTGAACTAATGGACAACACAGCCCATGTTTCCCCCACGCTCTTCCCAAGATGCTGCACCCTCGACAGTGGGATGAGCACCACAAGGGATAACAGCTCTTCCACAGAGCACGGCAGCCCTGCTCTCTGCACACCGATTTTTACACGTTCACCATGTTGACTATGCAAAAGCAAAAAGCTCAGATTACCCTGCTGTGAAAAAGACCTGATGAAACTGTTCAAAAGGATCAAGGAAGAGTCAGAATACTTATGGACACCAGTCCATGACATAAGTCATCAGCTATGCCCATGATGCAGGGTACTGCTCAGCCCCAGCTTCCAATTGCTGACCATTAAGGCACAGGGTTGGACCTTACACAGACTGGTTATCTCCCATTTGCTTGCTGCCAGTTTCCACTCCTATGGCAGGCTGCCAGGCAGGACAGTGACCTGGGTGTGACTCCAGTCCAGAGCTCTCCCCGGTGGTTATAAAACACAACCCAAGCATCAGTCCCAGACACTCCTCTGCATCTGCCCTGGGCTGCCTGGTCCTGGTGATGATCTGCTGTTGTGCCCTGAGCTGCATCAGCCCTTGGAAGCAGGAGAGACGAAATGAGTCGTCCAAGGAGGGTACCACAGGCAGGGAGACCCAGTGCCAATCAGACCTATGGCTGGCAAGGGATCGTCTGCCTAGAAAGGAGTGCGTGATTCAGCTCTGCAATTTCTACTGAGCACAGGGATGTATAAGGACCCTTTCCAGACAGAGATGTCCCCCTCTCCCCAAACAGGGTATACAGCTGTTTGTATTGAAACATCACACTGCCTACACCAGGACCAACTTTGGAGCTCAGTGCCACTGGCATGGATGCTGCCTGCAGCCCCGCAGCACACAGAGCCTGGCCTCTCCAGGAGGTGCTGAAGCAGAGAGAGCTGGGAGGACGACAGAACTGACCGTGCCTTTGGAAGCTGAATTTTGCCATCAAATCAGTTTTCTAATACAGTAGACAACATGAAAAATAAATACAAGGTAAGTTTTTGAAGAGCCAGCCAAAAAGCCAGAAAACCCACTGTACAATACCCCATGTGGAACACGATGCATGGGACCACTGTGACTCAATGTGAGCCTGGGAGCAGCACGCTCTTGTCATCTGCATGACAACAGTGCTGAGACAGTGGGTATTGCACTCATTCACCAACTGAAGGTGGACACAGGGACTTGGAAAGACAGGATTCAAGCTGGAGACACAGAGGCTGGATTGCAGAGCATAGGTGCTCCCTCTGCTCAGCTATGTTCTTCTAATCCCTCGCTGCTCCCTTTCTACCACTGCACTGCAGCAGGCTGAGCAGTCCACTGCCACGTGTCCCATCGCTGGGGAGGTATTCTTCTTGCTCCCAGTTCTGTTGCCAGAGGCTTCTTTCTGGCAGCAGGAGGAGCAACTGTGTGCAAGGTCTGTGCAGTGACAAATGAACTTTAGTAACTGACAGTTCACTGGCAAATGAAGTTCCATGTTGATAAATGCAAAGTAATGCACATTGTAGGAAAAAAATTACATTACTTCAGCACCTGACAGGGCTCTAAATTAACTGTATCAACCCAAGATAGGGCCTGGATATCACTGCAGTGAGCACAAGACCTCTGCCCACAACACCACCATGGTCAAGGACCAGGGCAAGGAATAACAGGAAATACACTGATGCTGTTACACACATCACACGGCACCACACTGTCGCTGTGTGCAGCCTTGGTCACTCTACCTTCCAAGGATACTGCTAAACAGGGAAGGACAGCAAGAGTCAGCATGTGCCTGAAAAAACTCCCTGTGAAAAGACAGAAAAACAGTGACCCAAGGATTAGTGGACTGGGCACCCGAAGAGGAGCGTGACGCTCATCTGGCCTGCCACATGGGTACAGAAAGCAGTGAATTCTGTCACTGCCAGGGGCCGGATAGCACACGGCTTGTGGAAAAGTAACTAATTTAATTTTAAGACTCTGTGCAGTAGTTAGGCCCCATTACTACTTCATAAAAGTGTTCCCACGTTTAATTGCCTTTTCCACTAAGAAATTGTATTCAGTTTTGTGTAACTACAGATCCCAGCCTCTGCACCTCCTCGCACCCCTGTCAGCTATGCTCACCAGCCTTTCAGGACCAGACTTCTTTCTCTGTAAACACTGAAAACACTGGTTCTTCGCTTCTCAGTCTTCATTCTGGTAAACTGAATACCTTAACATCCACACCATAAATACAGTCACCAAACCCAAGTCAGTTTTGGGACCACCTTTACCACTATTTCCAGTATTCACACACTCTTGGAGTATTATTTACAGGATGGGACACAGTGCTTTAGCATGTGCTTTCTCAGCCTCACATGTAGATGCAAAGTCTTGCTACTCTTTGGTATCCCACTTTTCAGACAGATAAAGAATACTTGTCTCTCTTTTTGTCAAAGCACTGGACTGAGAACTGGAAACTGAGAGCTGACATGAGGAAGAGCACTAGTGTATCTGAAGAGTCAACATACACCCATAGTGAAGAATGCATCAGGTTTTTAACAAATACAGATAATACTTCCATGTTTTCCATGAGACTCCAATGATGCTCAAGATACTTGAATAAACCACCCCAAAAGGGAAGTCTTTCCCCAACTCAGTGGTTTCCAGATGTAGATAACAGAAAAGTCTAAACAGAACTGCTGAGCTCCTGCACAGATCATCACAGCAATGTTTCTAAGAGAGAGAATATATGAAGAGTTGTTCTGCCATGGGCAACCTGGGCTGCTTGGTCTACAGGCTGACCTGAGATTTGGAGCAGGATGCCAGGACAGCCACAATATGCTTTGTTAGGTACCGGCTAATGAATGTGCAGGCTAAGATATTCTGGTTTGGTTTACAGCAGCATCAGTTTTGAATACTTGTACTTAGCCCCCTTCCCCCTGCCTTTAGCCATCTGAATTAAACCTTTATTTTGGTTTACTATAAAAGCTCATTGAGTACTGTGGAACAGGATGATCTAGGATAAAGGCAAATCATAAAGCTGAGGATCACTTCTTCCACAGAGGCTAACCACAGGTGCAGGCTTTGGAGAACGTGGTTGCCAGCCTCATCTCTACCTGAATAAATCTGCATGGCTTTTCACAGCAAAATGCACTTCCCTGTGTCTTTCAGGCTCCCTACCAAGACTTGGGTCCCCCTTCAGAAACCCCTGAGACACCAAAATCTCTCAACAGAAAAACCATCAGTACTTCCAGCATAGGCAAAACAATGTATACATCTTCAACTCGTTTCCTGAAGTAGATAAACTTTTCCAAAAGACTCTCGGATTGAGGCAGATAGCCAGCATAGTTCTTTGAAATGGTAAAAGCTTGGAATATTTATAAGCCAACGGAAAAGCTTGTGACAGAAAGTGTCTGCACACCTTAGGCATAGTTAAGCACACCTTAACTATATGGTGTGCTCTCACATCTGCTAATACAGTTAGTAATTATTATTACCACTAATAGTACGTGCAGTCAAGGGCATGATGGCAGTGCTGCCTGTGCTGCAGGTGAGAAATGAAGGTGATCAAAAGGGGCTGGTTTCTTCTTTCTGCTTAAGCAAAGCCAGCTTGGATGAGGAGCGCTCCAAACCCCCAGTCCCTGATGAGCCCTGGCAGGACTCCTGGGAGCCCAGTGCCCCAGGCAGAAGACCTTTCCTACCTTCTGCTGCCGTGCTGGGGCCATCAGGCCGAGTCGTCCCTGTACTCTTTTTCCTGCGATGCTTCTTCCTGTTGGCATGTGGTGATGGAGGTGGCTCCAGCTTCGGGCTGGCAGCACTGGAAATATTTGGGCTGGAGCTGAGAGAATCGGCAGTACCGTTAGCTGGGAAAAAAGAGAGAGAAAGTAATGTACAGCAGGACAGTGACAGTCTGGTCTCTCTACAGACAACCAAGTGTCCTGGAGGCAGTCCCCGTCCTCTGCCTGGCTCAAAATGCACAGCCCATGAAACAGAACAGTACCATGCTCAGCCCCATCACATAGGGCAGCTCTTACACCTACTCCAGCTCAGGGGTGGCAGGCGCCTGGGACAGGGTCAGGGTGGACAAGCTACGGGATTGTGATTATCCCACATTCACCCGGGATGATCACACAGAGAGCGCTGGCATCTACATAGCCAGGACAAGCACAGTGGCATCACTGGGGGCAGCCTGACATGCCAACCCGTCAGCGCACATCCCTGTGCATACTGCTCAGTCGCAGTGTCCTCACGGGGTGATGCATGCATTTTGAGAAAGGACAGTCAAAGAAGGTGCTCTTGGTCCCCCCGGGCGCAGATCCAGGTCCCAGGATCTGCAGTGCCACTGCAGAAGCATCATTCCCCCCCAGCATCGCTCTGCCAGACGAGGTGACTGGGGTTGCCACACTTAGGAACCTAAGCATGATGGTCTCAATAGGCTTCCGATACGGAGCTGAAGAAGCTGCATCCCCAGCAGCAACGCACCGAATTTATCCTCAATCATACTGTTCCTTACAATTAATAGCAGAATTAGAAACAATCAGGGAGCTGCCTAATTACTGTCAATTAGAGTGCGCTAATCAAGCTCCGATCACACACACACACGCTGCCGCTGCACTCACCATTAAATGTCAAATTTCATTAGAGACCAGCAACAAAATCAAAAGCCTGACATTCAATTTCAGCAGCACACACAGCGCAGGCTTCCAATCAGCATAAAAATGCAGACTCCGGGGAAGGCAACGAGGCGCAGGAGCCCTCGCTGCACTGTTAACCCTCTCCTAAATACACTCCTGCCTCTCCAGTGTCCACCCACCCACAGGGCATGTATGGCGGCTCCGCTCCCAGCCTGCTTCTGCCCTGGGCAGCTTGCTGTCCTCTCTGCAACAGCCCAGTGTCTCCCATCAAGTCCTAACCTCCAATTTCCATGTTTCGTGGCACCTGAAATTAAGAAAGCAATCACGGTGTCTAACAAGGGCAGCACCCTCCAGCAGTGGGAACTGCCTGTGAGATGCCAAGTCCTTCTTCTCCCGCTCCAGCCTAGCCTCTGCTCTCTGTTCAGCCCAGTTCAGTCAAGCCTGGCTCTCTGGGGCTTGGTCTGTCTCTGTGTGGCAAGATAAACATCCATCAGTGGGACGGAGAGGCAGCAGCCAGGAGCTGCCCCATGCAGAGGTATGGCATGCAGCCCATGTCCCCCTCACAAGCCTAGGAGAGAATGCAGTACCAGAGCTCTTCCATCTTTGATTTCTACTACATTTGACACACACACTGGTACGGCGTTTCTGCTGCTATTTATCCACAGGGAAATAGCTCACCCTTGACAATTAAGAGAGATAAATCTAATAAAACCAGACTCCAGTTTTATAAATATAAATTACTGATACCGTTCAACAGGGCTAAGCTTAGAGCAGGTGTGAGGCACCGGATGTCGCAGGGGACCTGAACTTTCTCTTCTGAGGCTACACGTGCTGCATCCATCCAGCCTACCTCTACTGCCCACCTGCTCACCAGGATGCCCCCCAGGCCAAACCATGCACTGCTGGCATCCTGCCCCCCTCCAGGCTCAGCTCGGGGTTTGTGTGTTTCTGCAGCTCCCACCAACGCACTGTCAGGCTGCGGTGAGCATGATGCTTCCTGCTCCACAGACCACAGACTACTCACATCCCTGCTCTTCTTACTGCCCAGCAGCTAAAGCCACAGAGCTGGGGTCCTCCAAGGCTGCCAGTGGGATAGGGATGGGACTGCAGTGGGGCAGGGGCAGAACGTGAAACACGCTCCCTGTACAAGATCATGTACTGCTTGCTCTCCCTCTTTCCCCAGCAGGACAGGGAGATCCTCTGATCCACACAAGGACTTCCAGCTCCTCATCTCACCACGGGAATCCTTCTGCAGGCACTGCCTGGTTCCTCTGGTGAGCTGCAGCAGTCCTCTCATAAAGGACAAACACAAAATGTGCTGGAGCATGTCTACATGACCTATACAGCCCAGCCCATCCCTCTTCCATGTGCTCTCCAGGGCACAACTAGAGGAGGCAGCTGTCCCTAGGAGCTGTGAGGACACCCTCTGAGCAGGTAAGTATTCCTCACCCTGCCCCACCGTTCAGAGCTGGGAACACAACAGAGCACTCAGACCTGGGCTGCACAGTGGGGTTCAGGTTGGGGGGTGAGGCACACCTGCTTAGGCTCAGCTCAGCCCCACAGCAGAGAGGTGACATGCTGTTCAGCTTTGCATTCCTCACTGCATGGAAAGCACTGCCTGTCCCCCCCAAAAACTCTCTCCTTTGTGAGGCTGTGAGCCCACTTCTGCTGGCTATGCAGGGACCCAGCTTGGAGAGCCAGCCTGGCATGTGTGCTGCCCAAGGGCTGCTCCAGCTGATGGCAAAAGGAGCCCAGGGAGCTGTGTGGTATCTCCCTGGGGACAATGCTTTGCTTCAGGCACTATGCCTGCCCCAGCTCCTGCTTGACAGCCCCAAGCAGTTCTGTGGACAGGAGACAGATGCCAGGAGGTATGAAATTGCTGCTCTCCTGGCCAGCACATGGCGATGGCACAGCGAGCTGTGAGCTGGGCGAGACTGTGAGGCTGCTCCTTGGACAGCAGGGCTGGTTGTCCCTCATATGCTGTGGGCCCTTCCCTTCCCTATAATGTGTCTGCAGACCACTAACACAGGGCAGCGCAAGGCAGGATCAACCCATAGGGCTCAGTGCCCTAAACAGTGCAGTGGGACCTGAGAGCAGGCAAGCAGCCATCAGCGATCGAGATACGCAATTAGCACTGAGCTGGTATCTCACCCCTCCACATCGTGGAAAGAAGCAGCAGCATCTCAGCACCCATTTTGTTTCAGCCTCCAGGTTACTTTGCAGGAAAGAGGTACACTGCTTTGGGTACAAGCGCTTTGGCCACAAGTGCAGCAGGTTCCTCCTGAGGACAAGGAGCAGATGCCAGCTTGCTCTCCTGTGACACTCAGGCCAAAACCAGGACAAGCAAAATGCGCAGCATGGCCACACCAGGCTCCTGGGCTCTGCAGCAGGGCTGCCGGGAGGAGGACCATACCTGCCACTGATGGTTCCTGGGGCGGGAGGCCATCCAGGCAGAGAGCTGCTGTCCAGAGGGCTGTACCACAAAATTCACCTGTGCAAAGGCAACGTGTGACTGCAGCACTGCCTATCTGCTCGCCGGCATGAGGGTGTGCAGACCCCGTTGCTGTGTGCACAGGGGCACGCTGAATGCACGGCTCCCACGGGCAGGGCGAGGAGCTGACTGCAGTGGAAGGAGTGTGGGGGGACCAGACCCGAGCATCCCAGCAGATGTGCCCATGTCCAAAGCAGTCCCCCACTTGCACCCCACTTCCTCTGGCATTGTAGGCTGCCCTGCTGCACCCCGTGTCCGAGGCGAGGAGGGGGGCCGGCGGCACATTAACGCTCAGAGCTGCACCCTTCCGCTCCCATCGCCTGCGCTGCCCCATCAGCAGTAACAGTCTGATTAATTCGCTTCCAGCAGGGAGCTGATGGGGCCAATGATGGAGCCGCTGCATCAGGCGCGCTGAAATTGATAGTTTTTCACAGTTACAAATGAGGAGCCTCCTCAGCTGCAAATGGCGCCCGCACAGTCGGACTCCGGTAATGATCATAAAGAGGCTCTCTTTAAACTGCGAAAGCCCCTGGGACCGAGCGGGGGGGCGGCTGCCGCGCTAATGAGAACTACAAGGGGCGAGCAGGCATGGAAATGGCTCCTCCACTCTTGATGTGCATTTAACTGCTTTTTTAGTGCGGCGGCAGAGCCAGGAACGAAGGAGTGATGAATGCAGCACAAAAGCATTTATTTTCCAATTCGGCAAAGTGGCTACGTTGGGAAATGTATGAATTATTTTAATTCACTCAACTGTCCTGAAACATCACAGAGAGCGAGTGAGCGTGGGGGGAGGGGGCGGGCCGCGTTCAGCGTGTGCTCCAGAGCCAGGAATTACTCCTGTTTGTTCAACTGCCCCAAAATCTGGGAGCTGGGGGTGCTGACGAGGAGCAGCAATGGGGGAAAGCAATGGTTACCTCTCGCATGGTGAGCTGAGTGGGGCAGAAGGAGAAGAGAGGCCAGAGCAGTCCTGCCGCAGAGCAGCATCCCTTGGCTGGAGGGAGGCTCTGTTACTGCGCCCACAGGAGAGCTTCTCCCCCCAGTCTGGACACTGCCAGCTGACCCTCACAAAGGTGGACAGTCCCAGCAAGGCCCCAAAGGCTGTGTCTGACACCAGTGAGCAAACTGGGCTCATACTGGGCTCAAACTGGGCTCACCAGTGAGCAAACTGGGCTCAAACCCAGGGGAGCAGGGTTAGAAGCACTACTTACAGGGGTTGGGGCAGCTACCAGGGATGGCCACAGCCTCATTCCACTGGTCTGCACTGGAGACCGAGTAGGAGCGCTGGTGCATGCCGTCCGGCTTGGAGCTGAAGCCCACCAGGTTGATGCCGCTGATGGAGCGCTCTGAGTGCAGGGAGGTGCTGCTGGTCGAGTGGGGAGCACCTGCAAGAGAAGCACACATTAAGCATGGACTAACGGCTCCTCTGGAGCACGGTGGAAGAAGGACAAGCTGTCTTGTACATGATGAGACATGGCCCTGCATGAGGACAGGCTCTGGCTCTCCTCTCCCAGGGGATGCCGGCACATCAGCCCCCTCAAATGTGCTGAGAAAAAAGCACTGCCTGGCACTCAGCACTCCTCAGAGGGACACCCAGCTCAGTGGATTTCAGGCCAGCACCCTAGGATGCACAGCGAGGCATCCTGGCACACAGCTTCCACCTCCAGCCAGATTTTGCAGCTGGAGTTTGTGCTCTGCTCACCGTTTTCACTACAGCTTCAGGCACCTGGACAAACACAAAACCACCCCATCTCACCTCATCCTCACTCCTTAACTCCTTGTGTGGCTCTAGCAAGAAACACAACCACGTTGGAGGTACTGTGAGTAAATGGGAAATCACACGGAGGATGACAAGCAGGGCAACAGAGGTCTGTAAGGTGCGGACTATGGGTGGAAATGCTTCTTCGCACTAGCTGGGAAACCTCTGGAGCTGAGGCCAGGAGCTTGAACCCCCAAGAAAAAGAGTATCCTGAGGACTAGAGACTGTCACAGAAGACAAGACCTCCCAGTGATTCAAAATGGGTCAAGTGTTTCCAGATTACAAGAATATCCAGAATTTCCAGAATAATAAATAGAGCAATTCTGGCACAGAGCAAAAATCTTGCAGTTCAAGGCTGCAGGCAATCTGTTAAGGAGGATGATGCTGTCCTAGAGGGATTACCCTACACCTTCCCTTAGGGCAGTCAGTCCAGCCACGGTGGAGTGAATGCTCTGGGAGCTTGGGGGTAAGAAAAGGGTCTCTTTCCCTACTCTGAAGCTCCCTCCCTTCGCCACCTCAGGTACAGATGCTAAGCTGGGACTCTCACAGCAGCCCCTGTGGCCATGGAAGAGCACAGGACGCCCTGAACAGCTCCAGCCACAGCGTGCCAGGCTGATGAGACATGGACCCACAGCCGGACCCATCTGCTTGCTCCAGCCCTGCCAGGGCCAACCACCCCATCATCACACAAGGAGCTGGGCTAAGAGAAACCAAGCAACTTGTTCCATGGGATCGCCATGTAAGTGGGATCTTTTGCAGAAGCAGGCTGGAGAGCAGATGGACACTTGCAGGAGCAGGCCCCCAGCTGATCTGCTACAGCCAGGGCAGCTCAGCTGACTGCATGTGCACTGTGTAAGACCAACCTCATTTTGCTCTTGGAGGTCTGGAGGTCACCCTGTCCACCCCCTGCTCAAGCACAGCCACACAGAGTCAGTTGCCACCATTGTATCTGGACAGTGTTTTAGTTTCTCCAACGAAGGAGATTGCACAGCCTTGCTGGGCAACCCGTTCCAGTGCTACCCTTCACTAAGAGTAGAGCCCCATAAAATCCCATGCGGAGCCCCAGAATCTGTACATAAATGGAAGTTTCTGTCCCTGCTGTTTCCATGAAAACCTCAGAAATGTGATTCGAATGTCACTGGTGCCTGAGTGCTGCCTGAGGCTGCAGAGTGCCTGAAACGACTGCTCAAAAAGCCCAAATCCCCCCCTACAGAAGGCGGATCGAAGGTGTGTGCTGAACAAAGGGGCGATTTGGGCCATCATCCCTATACCTCGCATGCCTGCCGTCCACGAGCACTTTCCATTCAGTGCCAGCACAGCAGGTGCCTCCCACCCTCCTCTTCACGTACCCACGCTGGACCAAAAACCCTTTCATAGAATCACAGAATCCCTTCTCCGCTGCACGGTGCTGAGACTCTGTCATCCCTGCCTGCAGATCCTGCCTGCCCTGGCAGTGCCAACACAGAGCTTGCAGAGCTGTCGGTGCCCTGCCCCTCCAAGCTGCTGGGGCCCCTGCCCCTGGGGTAGGAGCAGCAGAGGCGCTGGCTTGCCTGCCTCCAGCCCGGCTGCTGCACGTTCCCCCTCCCTCTCCTTGTTCAGCGCCACAGAAACACGTGTAAAACCATGACACTGACTTTGCCTCTAATTAGCCCTTAATTTACAAGACACACTCGGAAGGGTAATTAGCTGGCGCTCTGCTCCTGACTGCTGCATCCATCTCCTCTTGCCTCCTCATGGGAGGGAGCCTGCTGCCACTGGAGCAGGGACAATGCAGCTCTCCTGGGGCTGGGAGGATATGGGTCCTGGGGACCATGCTGCTGGGACAAGACAGGATGGGACGGGCCGCAAGCCAGGCGGCACACACAGCACATGTGTATCACCACAGCCATGCAGGAGATAGAGGCAAATAGCAGGAGTGCAGAGTGCCTGCAAGAAGCAAAGGGGAAAGCCCTGATGAGCGCCAGGGAGCCCAGATTTGCCCTTGCACCTCCGTGCCAGCCATACTGGGCACATGCCCTTCCATTGCTCCTCCAAGGAGCAGTGCGAGCTGCCACAGAGTGCCCTAGCCCTCACCAGAGGCAGGGACATGCAACCTGCCAAGGCTCCCTCCAAACCTGCCCCCAACAACAACCTCCTTGGTTCTGTGGCATGTACAGGAGGTGAGGGTGGACAGCAGGAAAGGAAGGCTGCTGCGGTCAGGCTCATAAAGCAGCAACCCCAGCACCTCCAGAGCCTGCTCTGCAGCCCTGCTCGGCTTTGGCAGTGGCTGCTGCAGAAGCACACTGTGCTGTGGTGGCCACAGCTGTGCTGTGACCTGAGCCAGGCCTGCAGGACACCAGTGTGTGCAGAAACAGACATCCTTGGGAAAGCTACCGATGTGCTCAGAGCACGCTCTGACCACCCAACCCTGCACCAGCACCCAGCACGAGTACCCCAAACCTGACACCTGCCTTGCCAGCAGTGCATGCCATGAAGAAGTGGTGCCAGCTTGAATCTCTCATTTTGTAATGAAACAGTGCTGCTAAGGCTTCCAGAACAGCTTCTATCTGCAGTGCTTCCAGGAGCTCCCTGCATTTCACACCAGCTGCCTGGAATCACTCAGTGGCACAGAAATGTCCTCACAGCCCAGCCACTCCCTTGTCCCAGGGATCTGCAAGGTGGTCCCAACAAGGCTGGAGCTCTCAGGAACTGTGCCCCTTTGCTGGACATGTTCCCTTTATATTAGGCAAGCAAAGTGAAAGGTGAATACAAGGCTACATGTAAAATACTGCTGCTCTGAGCCAAAGCTTTCAGGATCTGAACTCTCCCTGACCCTGCCTATAGTCCCTCAGGCAAGGCCATCCCAATCACTATTTCCTCAAAACCCCCCCAAAGAGATTCATGTAGCCATGTTAGTGTGTCCCCACCAGTACGCAAAGCTTTGTGATGCCCTTTTAAGTAAAGCCTAACTGATGACATAGCAGTAAATGGAAAATGACCTAAAAACAGAATGTCCCTTTGAAAAGTGAGCTAGCAAAACCGCAATAATATTTATTTAGCACAAAATGCAAAGGCAGGTACCCTGGAACTAATGGGCGCGATTCAGAAAATCCTGGGAACGCATGTACTGCTTTCCATGGGATTTGGATTGCACCACAGTGACAGTAATGTCTCCACTAGACTGGGGCTTCTAACTGGGACCACCAGAGGAGGAGGAGTGCTACAAGTATTGCCTTTTCCCAGCATTACTGAAACACACCACCAGTGAGGCTGGAAAGCCAAACGGGATCCTCCATGCACTAGATGACGTATGTGTTGTGTTACACTTCCTGCACAAATCTGGTGTGATACCTCACCTAGAGCTTCGTGCACAACCTACCATGCTGAAAGAAACTAATTTAAGGTGGAATGAGTACAGAAAACAAAGGTGACATCCCATTCCTACTAATCCTGCTAGCCCACGTCCTACAGCTGGCAGTCCTGAATCCCTGCAGACTGCCAGCTGTAGCAGCACAAGTGCATGGACAGGCTAAGTCAGTCGCATTTATCTTAACATGAGCAATACAGAAATACCTACATTCCTGACAAGTTCACTGAGGAAAGGACTTGTTCCTTCTCATCCTGGAACACACAATAACCTGACCAGCACTGAAGAAACCAAGTGACACATCAGCTCTACCTCCTACCACAAGCATCCAACACCCACTCTCAGCAAGCTCCTGGTGAAGCCACATGTGTCCTTGATGCACATGTCCTGAGTGCCCAATGTCTGCACTCGGACATGGGTATGGAAAAGAGACTTTCTTCTTCCCAGACATGAAAGACAGACTCCTTCAGTGGCTCTCTGCACTGACAGCCAAAAGACATACCAGTGATTATGGTCCTGAGCTAATCTCTGCTGCGTTTGATGCTGTCTGCCCAGGAATACTGCAATTTCAACATGAGAAAGGGGACTGGCTCCCAAAGGCTCATCCTCCTTTGGCCAATGGACACAGCAGACTGCAACACAATAAAAATCCCCCGGGTTTCATGGCCAAGGTTGGGTCTTTTCTCTAAAGTGTCAGGCCTTGCTCTGGCGCTGAACAGAGCTGCTGCCACCTCGCTAGAGACTGCTAGCCATATGGCATGAGATGGTGACAGAGGCAACCCCAGGATAGGGTGACAACACCCTGGCATGAAGCAAACCCTATTTTCTCTTGTCCTGCAGTCAGCCAATAGCACACTGCAGATTAATGCTATTCACTATCTGCCAAACCACATCCCAGAGAGTCATCAGTTACCGCTACCCATTAACCAAAGCTTTAAGGTATGTGTTGCCAACCAATCATCATTTACTCCAAAGTCAGAGTTACTGCAAGCCACGTTAGTGTACTCTGTTGGTGTTGGCAGCCATAGCATGCCTCAAAGCCTCCCTGAAAGCCGCATGTGTGGGGCAGCCATGGCTGCTCTGGACCCCAGCACACTGTTCCTGGGCTGCGCAGCACAGGCTGGACGGGTACCCACCTCCAGCTGGTGGGAAACTCCTTCGTTCTGAGGAACCAGCTGGTTCTTGAGGGGAGGTGAGAGCCAGTGAGCCTGGTTAAGCTGACTGCCTGTGAAATCCCTGCTGGTAAAGACATAATTCACCCCTCTCCATCAATGGGTGGT